GCAATTTAGAATTATGCAAATAAAGTCTAAAATGTTTGAACTAGAGACTCCATTACTGGGCTTATGCCCCAAGGAAGCCATTGATAAGAACATGGTCCCCATATATATCAAAATATTTATAGCAGCACTTCTTGTGATAACAAAGATTTGGAAACCAGGCAGATGTCCATTGACTGGGAAACGGCTAAGCAAACTGTGGTACAAGAACGTAACAGAATAATACTGTGCTGTAAGAAATGATGTATGTGCTGAATGCACAGTAACAGTGGAGTAAGCAGAGGCAAGAGAACAATCTATACAATGACTCTACAACAATGTAAAGAACAGCCACACACACAAATCAAAAGTGAACATAACAAAATTATAAAGATCAAGCATGACTCAAATGAAGAGATGAGAGGATCCTTCCAACCCATCCCTTCGTGGAGGTGGGAGGTCCACAGGTGGTGCACATTGTATGTGTTTCCAGACTTCTTCAATGTATTAAAACATTTTATGCTAATTTCCTTCCCTGGGGGGGGATTTTAAAAATATTATATGGAATGACTTTCTGGGAGGGGAAAGGGAGAGGTATCTGAAAAAGAACTATGATAATGTAAAAAACAGAAGACCAATAAAAAATTATTTTAAAAACATCAGGTGATCCCAAGCCATGGGACTCATTCATCTTTATGGTCTGGGAAAGAGATAAGCAAAGAACAATGAGGGAAGGATGGGCAGGGAAAGTGGGGAAAAAGGCCAAAGGTGGGATGCTTGGATCAGGAAATTTTATAAAGTTTTACTACTGCAAAACACTCCCAGGCTATAGCACCCAGACCTGTCCACTAGTGACTGCCTCAAATTTTCTCAGTGATGTATAAGTAAGGGCTATAACTAGTTGTGTTGCTAAAGGTGTTCAGATGTAGATCCCTCTTCTTACCTTTACATGCCTTCAGTAAGTCCGTTTTATGGAAATGCTTTGAAAACCTGAAGCTTGGAGGTTTAGGGGCCCCTGAGAGACATGAGCAGGACTCTAATGGTCCCAGTGAAGATTCCTGGAAGAGGGCAATGAATCAGATTTACTTTTCTCTCCCTCTCTTCCTCTCCTCTAGCCTAACACGAGGTCTGGTACCTGGTAGGTGTTGGAAGAACTCTTGGTGAATTGTGAGAGATTTTTTAAAAAGGTTTTTATGCCTTTTTGTCTTTAGATCATTTACCACTCTCCATCCAAGACCGAAACCCTCTCTTATTACAAAAACACCAAACGCATAAATCTTGTCTGACAGTGCAAATAAAGTGTCTAAAATGTTCATACCCATAAGTACTTCGTTCTGTGTTCTCTGTCCACCTCTCTGCAATGACGTTTCAATACTTCTTCTCCAGATGATTCTTGTTTTTTTCCATTATTTAGAATACAAATTCTTTTTAGAGACTTTTTAATTCTGGCTTCACAGTTTATGCTGATCTTTCCACCTTGCTCCAAATTCCTCATATTTGTCATTTTTTCACAGCATGATAGTCCATTACATTTATAACCTTTTAAAAAAAGTTATTCCCCAACTGATGGGCACGTAGTTGTTTCTAGTTCTTTGCTAACAGAAAAACGTTAGTGTTAATATGGACATCAGACCTTTGAGACTTGGGGGCAGGTGGCGGGGGTGGGGTGGGGGGGAGAGACATGTTATGAGAAGCCTTCAAGACTGAATCCACTTTTTTTTGTCAGAGCTGAAGAAGGGCTCCATTTTCCTGGAGACTATTCTCAGGGAAGTTCTGGCCAAGAAATACAGGCCTTGAAGGCTGTACTATGCACTTCTGCAGGAAATGGAAAAACTTAAAGGTTAATGAAGTCAGCTAATGGAACTGTGCAAAGGGAATTTACTAGGAGGTAGCTGGTTAAATGGTCTTTTATCATCAGTGTACGCCCTATAGACAATGAAGAAAACAAATGAGGAAAAAGCAACTGATCTAAATCAGGTGTACATACAGTTCTTTGCAGGAGGTAATACTTTTGAGGACACTGAGATACTGATTATCAAGGTATCTGAAGGAACAATACCAGTGAAATGGAAAACATTTTGCAGATATTATCAAATAAAGTGACAGGGATCATTAACTATCAAATTATATACATACCTTCCCATCTATGTAAAAATTTGAGAATAAAAACGTATGCCTCAAGGGCATCCTTGATGAACGTTATAGAAGGGAAGAGACTGGGCTTTTTTGTAAGGAATTGTAAGCAAATAAAACCACATTTTTACTCTCACGCTATTTTTTTATTCTTATTTTTAGGCAACTGGGGTTAAGTGACTTGCCCAGGGTCACACAGCTAGTGTCAAGTGTTTGGTCCGAGGCTAGATTTGAACTCAGGTCCTGTGCTCTATCCACTGCGCCACCTAGCTGCCCTTCTCTCACACTATTGACAAGATGAAGACTACAAGATCCTACCAGTGTCTGGTAGAGCAAAATGTCATCTTAAAGGAGAGGTTCTTTTTTTGTATCATGGACTATTTGGCAAAGTCTAAGACCCTGTTTTAGAATAATATACTTAAATACACAAAATTATAAAGGAAACCAATTATACTGAAATGCAGTTATCAAAATATTTTTTTTTAAAAAACACCAAGTTTTCAGACACTAAGTTAAGAACTTCTCCTTTAAAGCTCTTCCCCAAGTAAGATGTACATCCTATGAATATATCTACATTATATATACGATTCCTCGAAAGATTCAGCAGAAGTAATTCTGTTTGAAAGTCTTGTGATTACTCATTTGCAGATGACCATACGCAATTGGCCCAAAGCCTCCAACCTTGCATAGCCTCCTGAAAGAATCATCATTGCTCAAAAAAGTTGGACCTAAGAATTCTCACAAGAAAAATCAGGTGGATAAGGAATGCCTATCATTCAGATATATAGCAGTTTACATGGCTAACATCAGTCTATGTCTTAGACAAACAGCGCAAATGGATAATGACTTGTGCCTATAACATAACATAACCAGAAGTGGCTGAACTGACTTTGAGGAGTTGCAAAGTTCTTTTAAGCACACCAAAACTTTCCCCTGAAACAAAAGCCCATCCTTTTAATATTAATATTCTTGGTGTTGGATGGCTGCAAGTCATGGAACACAATAGACTCTGAAGAAGTAAAATTGAAAACTATTTAAAGGAGAATGGAGATGTATATGGCCGATGTGTCGGGATAACATGGTGTAGTAGATACGTGGCAGGCAGGAAGACTGGGTCCAGATCCCACCTAAAATACTTACCAGCTGTGTGGTCCTAGGCAAGTCACACAATCTCTTTCAGTCTCTTTCCTCTAAAAGAAAAGACTTGAGACCTGATGATCTCTAAGGCCCATTCGTTTTAATTCTACGATTTTAAGATCAAATAAGGAAGATGGGGTGGTCATGTTTGAGCAAGTACCTACTGGACAGATCATACACTCCATTAGTATCCTCAAACTGTGGAGAGAAAGGGAGGTACGAGACCACCCTCTGTGATGAATTTATGGAAGGATATGGTCAGGTCATTCAGGATAAGTTACAATCTGCACTGTGGGGAGGAAAAACACCTCTGTAGATTTTTAGATCACAGAGCCATAACTGAGTTGAGTTTATGTTTCATAGAAATCTAGATTACTCTGAAAAATTGCTTTAATGGAAAAATGTTTTAAACAGCAAACCTATGGAACTAGTGCTTTCCTGCAGTGGTACTTGCTGGGCTGTGACTCTTAACACAGCAACAAAACATAAATATTACACATAATACATAATATGTGTACATATATACATACACACACACACATATATATATGTATGTGTATATAGCTATCAGATTTGTATACAACTTCTGCTATAGAGCTTCCCATCTTTATCAGGCATTCCAGAATGTCTTTCCTGCTCCATCCATATCATACCCATCTTTCAAGGTTCAATTCAAGTCCCACTTCCTTTGTAAGGCATTTCCCCAAAGTGGTATCTAATCCATACTAATCTCTTTTCAGGAATTCCTATAGTACTTACATCAGACATGCATTTATTTCCATGTATCGATACTTAACTTATATTTTATATATTATTATATTATACTTACGTTATAATACTTAAACTGCATTCTAGGGAGGGAAGGGGAGAAAATTTAAAACTCAAAAGCTTATGGAAGTGATTACTGAAAACTAAAGTAAATTAATTATTAAAAAAAACCACCCATTCTTATCTTCTGACTAGAATGTAAACTTCAGGAGGCTAAGTAAGATAAGGTCTTCCAACAACCACTCCTTCTTCAATGACAGAGCAGCCATCACTGATGCTTAAAAAAACCTATCATTATGTGAGAAAAATTTTACCAGGGTTTCAGTGGATCTCCTGCCATTTCACAATGCGACTATTGACAATTTAGTATGTGAGAAGGGAGCAAATCGCTACTGATCGGGTGGTAATAACCAAATTCAGATTTGATGCGAGGCACTAACATCCGCTTTTATCTCTACTGTAACAAATGGATTACAAGGGAGGCAGCCTGGTGCAATGGAAGTAACTCACACTGGATTTAAAGTCAAGGGGCCAAGAGCTCAAACATCTTCACTCTGCCACAGGTGGAAATAACAGTAGCATCCGAAGGTCTGCAAAGCTTTACTCGTCATCCCTTTCCATCCTCACCACCACCCCGCCAGCAGCTAGGTGCTATGATCATCACCCCGTATTACAGACGAGGAAAGTGAGGCAGATGGAGGTCAAGAGATTTACCCTGGGGGTCACCCGGACAGTAGGCTCCCACCTCACTGCCGCAGGCAGCAGCTGGGTCATTTTGAAGCAGATGGATCTGCCCCCCCCCCCCGAAAAGAGCATGTCTCCCAAAGACACGGTCTTTTCTTTTTTTGGGGGGGGGGGTCCAGATCCCCATCCATTTTGGGCACGCCTACGTCGCCTCTTCTCACGGGAGGCCCGCACCGCCTGCGGGGGCCCTCCCGCTCGCGCACGATCCGCCCGGCAGGAGCAGTAAAGGACGGATATGCGTGGCCGTGTGAACAGATCTCATTTATTGTCACCACCACCACCAGCACCACCACCACCACTCCGGCCCCCGGCGCCGCGCCGCTCACTTGTAGGTCTTCATGTGCCACAGACCGTCGTTCAGGTAGTGGATGTTCTCGATGCCGATGCCCTTGTTGACCCGCTCGATGTCCTCGGCCGCCAGCTTCATGACGCCCACGCACAGCGCGTGCTGCTTGCCCTCGGCCATGATGGCCACCACGGTGTCGGCGGCGGCCGGGTAGAGCCGCGCGCCGGGCGACGTCAGGCCCGGGCACATGATGTTGGCGCCGCTCAGCACGAACTTGATGGCGCCCTTGTCCACGCGCTGGTGCGGCAGGATGAAGGGGTACTTGTGCAGCAGCCGCAGCGTCGGGTAGAAGGGGCCCTCGCGCTGCCGGAAGAAGAGCAGCTCGCCGTTCACCGTCAGGATCTCGATGTGCTCGTGGCAGCGCACGATCTTCACCGGGTCCTTCTTGGGCATGATCTGGTTGAGCCACGGCTCGATGCCCGGGAACTGCTCCAGTAGCTGGTTCTTGATGCCCTTGATGACGGACGTCTTCAGCTGGATGCAGTTGGACACGTTCTCCTTCTCGTCGAACTTCTTGAACATGGTGGCACGCGGGCCGGGGGCCGGGGCGGCGGGAGCGGCGCGGCCGGGGCCGGGAGAGGTGGGGGACGGGCGCGCGGCGGCCGAGACGAGTCACTCACAGCGGGAAGGGCCTCCTCGCTCCGTCCGTCAGGCCCGGTCAGTGCGCAGCCCCAAGCGCCGTGCTCTCCCGCCCGCCAGGCCGCCGCCGCCGCCGCCTCCTCTTTCCCAGCCGGCGTGCAGAGAGGCGCTTTACGGCTGCCTTCACAGCCGGGGCGTACGTAGAGAAGTCCTTTACGGCCTCAAGACCGCCACTCGCGCGTGCCGCAGCAGGAGCTGTGCGCCTGCGCACTTTCACTTTGAAGCTTTCTGGACACCGACGACCTAAAGGTAGCCAAGAAATTACATGGAACGTTTTTAGTTCTCAGTTAAACGACCAATCAAACGAGTTTTCCTTCTTGATGCCACTCAGTTAGCAAGCATTTATTAGGCGTTTATTATGGGGCAGCCAGTCCTTGCTCCAGGAGCTCAGTCCCAGCAAGCCACGTGGGGGCGGTGTGCGAGAAAAGGCCTCTATCTCAGCCCGGGAGCGCAGGGATCTTAAGGGATGGGAGGGCGAGGGAGAATCCTGTGCAGAAAATACGTCCACTGAAGCTGGATTTTAGGTGTCAGGGAGAAAAGCCAGATAAGCTTGGAAAGGTAGGAAGGTGCCTGGTTGTGAACAGCTATAAATGCCAAACTGTATGTTAATAAGGATTTAGTGTGTAGATAGAGATGTGACCACTTTAAGAAAACCACTTTGGTACAGACTGGATGGATTGAAGTGTAAAGAATCAGGAGTGCCAGTGAGACTACCGCAACACCCATTCACCTAACAAAGGCTACACATACCTTAAAAAAAAAAAGAATGTAATTTGTCTTAAAGCAAATTAAATAAAAAAGGGTGGAAGGGAGAACACAGCCCATGTATATACCCAAGTCAAATACTATAGAGAATATAACTATAAGATTGGTGAGGAAAGCTAAGGACAATTGAAAGGTGTTTTTATTTTTATTTTTTCAAAACTATATTGGGAGGAAGAAAAGAGACTGTAAAAAGATCAAAAACTTTTGCTTGGGGTGGATGAAGTGATAACACTCAACAGGAAGGAGAAATACTCCATTCCCAGTTTGTTTTCTCTGCTAGGAAGAATGACTTTTGCACTTGAAATGGCTGAACAAAAATGACGTATAGGGAGCTGATACACAAGATAAGGATAAGGTTAGCGTTAGGCACAGTGCCTAGCTGCCCATGAATTCAAAGTACCTGGCCCATTTTCAAAAAGAGGTATGCAAACTATTGGCTGGTGAACTGGACATCAAATTTCCTGGGAAAAATTCTAGAAAGAATCATTAAAGAGGTATCTCTCGAATATTTAGAAAGTGGTGATTTATCATAAAGAGCCAGGATGGCTTCATGGAGAACAGATTATAACAGATTACCCCACTTCCTCCCTAGATGAGGGGAATGCTCTTAAGTTTTCTTAATATACAGCTTACCTAGATCCTTAGCAAAACTTTTTTTAATAGCAAAACTTTTGATACAGCCTCTGACATCATTCTTCTAGACAAGATAGAGAAATTCAGATTAGACTATAATAAAACTAGATGAACTCAAAATTGATTGGATGGATGGAAAGAATAGCTGGTTCAGTGTCAATATGACAGGTATCCAGTGGAGTACCTCCAGGAACAGCTTGGCCCTGTGAGGTTTAATGTGTGTGTGTGTGTGTGTGTGTGTGTGTGTGTGTGTATCTATGCCTAGAATAAAGAGATAGATGGCATTCATTTCAAATTTGGACTGCAAGCTTAATATAAATTAGCAATGTGATATGGTAGGCCAATTAAGAAAGGCATAGCTTCCAGGAATAGAGGCAGAGCTCTACTTTACTCAGACATCATCTGTAATAGTTTATTCAGTTCTGATTACCAAGCTGGAGAATGTCAAAATGAGGGCAACCAGGATGCTGAAAGGCCTGTGTTCTTGTCATATAGGGATTAGCTGAAGGAAATGAGGATGTCTGCCTTGGAAGACTCGGGGGCACATGATCAGGGAGGTTCGAGTATCTGAAAGGCTTGTCGTGGTGGAGGTATCAAATCTGTTGTTTTGTTTTAGAGTGTTATATCAGAAGCATAGAGTGGAAATTGGAAAGAAGCCAACATAGACTTGATGTGAGGAAAGATTTCCTGACAATTAGCTGTCCAAAAGTAGGAGGGGCTGCCTCTGGAGGTCATGGGGTTCCCAATCACTGTGGGTCTTCCAGTAAAGGCTGCATGATCCCTTCTGGATGTTTTAGTGGGGATTTTTTTGGTGTTTAGATTGGCCACCAAAATTCCTTCCAATCTTAAATTGTTCGACTCACTGAATATTATACTATGGTGTAATCATGACTAAAGAAAAATGTTTATATCCAAATTGTATTTCCTAGGTTAAAAGGTTATTTTTAACTAGAGTATATTCTCTTATACCTATCTCAGAGAGAAAGCTTATTGTGTTTGGGTAAATGACTGTCTAAATAGCTTGGAGTTCAAATTTTCACATTTTCTTTTAAACTCTTTCTTCCTCCAAACTTTCCTATTTCTGTTGAGGGTACCTTGTAGTCACCCAGGTTTATCGCTTCAGTCATCCATGATTCTCCTGACCCCTGTGTAACATCCCTTGACTCTGTCCCATCTCTTCACTTGCAAGGCCATAGATTTCATTCAGGACTTCATCAGCTCTTGCCCGGGGTGTTATTACAACAGGCTCCTTCTTGGTCTCCAAGTGCCTTGTCTCCCTCCTTTCCAATACATTTGGCCCATTGCTGGCAAAAGTAATCTTCCTAAAACCCAAGTCTGTTTTTTTCCCGCTCTAGGATTTTCAGTATTGTCCCTCTCCCCATTTTTTGTTTCTAGAATAACATGCAAATTCTTCTGCCAGGCACTTACATAACCTCACTCTGCCTCCCTCCTACCTTATTTCATGTTACTCTCCCTTTATAAACTTTGCCTAATTGTACCCCAAACTTGACATTCCAGGTCTGTTCTCATTCCTTTGTACAAGTTCTTTTGTGTCTGGATGGTCATTCCTCCTGGAGTCTGGTGCCACTGATGTGCAAAGCCTTTTCTGAGAGACCCCTAGTTGCTAAGTGTTCTCTCGCACTTAACCATATAAATAAATCTTTTATTTACTTAATGTTGGGTTTCTTTGGTGTGTGAGTTGGACTAGAGAGCCAATGAATACACATAACTCTCAAATGGGCTATCCCCAGATGAAAAAAAGATCTTCATAAGAAGTAACATTTTGTTTCTCAGTCACTGCTTGGGATAGTGTAGGCATTTGTTAAGTGCTGTATTTAGTAAACACTTAGTTGTTGAATTCAAAACCACAAAATTTCAGAACTGGAAGAGACTTTAGCCTCAGCCACCACTGATCCAATCCATATTTGGGGAAAAAAATCCCCTCGACAACATACCAGACAAGGGTCATTCAACTTTTATTTGAAGACCTCAGGTCAAGTGGTGGGGTGTGTGTGTTTGTGGGATTCGGATATCTCCCAAAGCAGCCCCTTCCACTTTTGGTTGGCTCTCATTATCAGAAGTTTTTCTATATAAAAAGCCAGTTATCTGCCTTTTTACAGTTTCCATGTGTTACTCCTAGTTCTATCTCAGAACAAACCTAATCTCTCCACATGAAAGCCTTTCAAAATACTCAATGATTCTCATGCCGCAGAGATCCCTACCTTTTTTCGAATAACCTTCACTGTCTTAGTTGCCCTTTTCCTGGACCCTCAACAGTTTATTAATGGAGGCAGAATGATGAAGGGGGAAAAAGACTGAATCTGGAGTCAGAGGTCCTGAGTTCAGCTATCAGCTCTGGGGCTACTTCTCCCTTTGAAGCTGGGCAAGTAACTTATCTTCTCTGGTCCTCTGTTTTCTCATATGTAAAATAAGGGGGCTGGACTAAATCATCTCCAAGATCTCTCCCAGCTCTTTTATGTGTGACCAGTCACATGATATGTCCTTCCTAAAATGTCATGCACAGAACTGAACACAATCCCTACAGATGTGATCTGAACAGGACAGAGTACAGTGGAACAATCGCCTACTTATTCACATGCCTCTCTTCATGCATCTCAAGAATGATTTAGCTTCTTGGCTGCCATATGTCATTGTTAACTGCTGCTAATTGAATTTGCAGTTAAATAAATTCCCTAATTCTTTTTCACATGAATTGCTGTCTGGCCATATATCTTGTATTTGTGAGGCTTTTTCAACACATGTAAGACTACATTTATTCCTATTAGGTTTCATATTATTAAGATTCAACCCAGTGTTCTAGCCCATCAAAGTCCTTTGGAATCCTGAATGTCATCCAGTGTATGTTAGCTATTTCTCCCACCTCTGTGTCAGCTATGAATTGACAAACCTGTCAACCTGGTCTTTATCCAAAATGTTGTTAAATCCTCGAGGCATACCACTGAAGACTTCCTCCTAAGACGATATAATGCCATTAATGCTGACTCTTTAGGTTCAGCCCTCAACCAGCTATAAATTCTTCTGTATTTTGTCATATTACTTAAACCTCTTCATCTTTTCCACAAGAATTGCATGCCAAATCCTTGGCTAAAACCTAAGTAAACTATAGTTACCGCATTGCCCTATTTTAATAGCTTAATAACCCTAACAAAAAAAGGAAATGAGGTTAGTCTGACATGACCTGTTTTTGATGATGCCATACTGACTCTTTGGGATGACTCCTTCCTCTTCTGAATGAATTTAAAGATGTTTGAAATAGATTTAGAAACTGATCTAGGTGAATGATCTTAAATTCTTTTCAGCTGCAACATTCAAACCCGTCTACTATTATTATGCTTTTGAAATTGTTAACAACTATTTTATATGGAAGGACTTGGTTACCTAGTGCCAGTTAAGGAGGAAGAAAGACCTAGATAGAAATGCTGGATATTCTCTTAGAAAATCTCTGGAAATTACCTCCAGAATAAGCAATATCTTTACTTTTTTTTTTTTTTAGCAATTGGGGTTAAGTGATTTGCCCAGGGTCACACAGCTAGTAAGTGTCAAGTGTTTGGTTTGAGGCCTCGTGATTTTTAACTCAGGTCCTCCTGACTTCAGGGCCATTCCTCTATCCACTGCACCACCTAGCTGCCCCTTATAGCTTTACTTTTAAGGATCAATGCAGTAGCAGATACAGCCCATCAAATTGTGAGCACTTAATCAAGGCACACACTGATAGGAACACCTAACCTTTATTACCTTGTTTTTGTCTGGAGGTACCAAAAGAGAATTGGTAAATCAACATATGTATTCAATATCCACTGTGACAGAAATGCTCCTAGGGGAACAAAATAAATAGGCATAAACTGCTTTTTTGACAAACTGTTACAATCCACTGAAATTATTTTAAATATACAAAAGATGAAACTAAAAGAAAACACTCCATCTAAACCAATCCAGCTGTAAAGAGATTAGTATATACATAAAAACCAGGAAGATACTGGAGTGATTAGAAATTGATCTTTTTGTCAAGAATTTTTTTTCTTTTTCACAATGAAAACAGGATCTGGATTCAAGGAAGGATATGATTAACAACAGGGGAAGTCTTTGTAAAAATCTTTATTATATGAATTGATTTAAATTTTATGGGTAGTAGGGGATTTCCATTTCTGCTTCAGACTCTTCTTCCTCTGGTTCCTGCAAAAAAATCTAGTATTATGAAAATAGCCTTTTGTATTTTGCAATAAGGTAGTGTGATGGTGGCCACTATCAAAAGGAAAATACCACTAAGATCAAAATTAATTGAATATTTTAAGCAAGAATGGTATCTTCTATAAACAAATCTTTTTACCTTCTTTTATTTTCTCAAAAGTCTTGTCTAGTACATGTGTACAAAATGGAAGTCTGATACATCCATTCCCTTTGACACTCAAAAGTCAATCTATATATTAAAAGATTATGACTTTGGGGCTCACGGACAGCCCCAATTATGTGTAAGCCAATTCAGCTTCCATTATGCACTCAACAATAGGTATGACACAGCCTCGGACATCAGCTTCAGTAACAGCAGACGGGTACATGCCGTAGTTATCATTTTCCGGGACAATATTCTTAAAAGCATGGGAAATAGGGGTGAGGGGGGTTGTTCCTCGGAAGGCCCTCCTGTTGGCACGTTCTCCGATTTCTTTTTCTGTACCTGCTTTATCAATAAACAGACCATGTGCAATAACACCAACCTGGACAATCCTAGGTACCGAAAACTCTCGGCCAGGGGAGGGGATGAAGGATGAGAGATGGGCCGGGGCTGCGGGCACTTTCAGGTCGCCCACGTTTTAAAGCCCCGCCATCTGTCAGTGAAATTGACCTTCTGGGCGAGGGGGGATTGGGCGCGGAGTTTTTTTTAATTGTTAGGGAGATTCGTGATTACCTGGCCAGCCCAAGGGGGTCGCTGGCCGAAGCAGGGGGCCAGGCCGCCCCGGAGGCCCCCCCCCCCCGACCGGGGCCGGCCTGGCCGCCGCGCGCCCTTGTGAGCTCAGTCATCTTTGAGGCCGCAGGCGGGAAGAGCCGAGGCCCCCGCGAGGCAGTCACTGGCCTGGGGCCCGGCTCATTGTTAGCCAGGCCCCACCACCCCGGGCCGTCAGTCCGGCGCTGGGTGACCAGGGCCGCCGGGTGCTGCTCCAGGCGCCTGACGCGGCCGGACAGCGAGCACCGAGCCACGGGCCTCCAAAAGCCGACTCCCGCCCCCGCTGCTAGAGCCCGCTCCGGGCAGGCATGGCCGGGAGGCGCCGGCGCTAGCCGCGCCCGCCGCCCGTCCCCGCTGCTCCTTTCCGTTCACTAGTAAATAGAGAAGAGAATGAAGGCGGCTGTGAGGACCAGGGTGGCAGGAGGAACCAACGACTCCAAGTGAAGGCGGCCCCGGAGCCTTGCGGAGGCGCGCAGCCAATGAGGTTTCTTCCTATGAGCTGAGTCCACGGGGACGATGGGAAGCCGGGGGAGCCGGGGGCCGATGGCGCACCGGCAGCTCTAACCAGAGGAAGAACGCAAGACGGAGGAGACCCCCTCCCGCAGCCGCCTCACTTTCGCAGTCGGACCGAACCCCACCTCCGCCTCACCTTCCTAGCCCCACTCACCCGCCCGCCGCGCAGTGCCGCACCGCCTCCGTAGCCACGTGATCAGCCCTTCTCTTCCCAGCCTTCCTCCTCGCTTAAGGGGAGGGGAGGGGGGGGAAAAAGACTCCACTTCCCAGAAGCCCTCGGTTACCACGCACCCGCCACCTTGCGCAGGCGCTGCCCGGGCCAAACGGACACGTTCGTCACGTGGGAGGCGACCGGCCAATCCGGTTTGAATTTCATTTTTTTACTCTCACCCCCCCTTCAGGAGCGGTTGTCTGATCAGATCGATCTAAGATGGCGACTGTGGAACCGGTGAGTGTTGCTTTCGGCCCCCCCCAATCCCTACCGGGTCCCCGCGCCCTGTTCCCCGGGGGCCGGGAGACTCCGCGGGACGGCGCTCCCAGCGCGCACGCAGCCCCTCGCCGCCCCCTCCCCCTCCGTCGGGCGCTGACCCCCTGGTGGCGGCGGCGACTGGGGGCGCCGGGGAGGCGGCGGCGGCGTGTAGCGCACACAATTCTAGTGGGGGCAGGCGAGACGAGAGATGAGAGGTGGGGGAGGGGCGGCGGGGAGCCAGCGGCAGTGGGAGCGCGAGGTGCCCGGATGGGAGGGGGGGCCGGGTGGGGAAGTTGCGGGTCGCGGGGCTGGGGGCCCAAGCGGGGGGAAGTCGGCGGGATCGGGACTGGCGGGCGGGGGACGAGCGCGTGAGGCTTGCTTGTGACGGGGAGGGTTGGTGGCGGGGCCACCGGCTGCCTTGGGGGCGTGCGCGGGGGCCCCGCGAGGTGGCGGGGGTTGGCGGGCGGGCTGCGGCACGCGCGGAGGGCCTGGACCACGCCAGCCGCGGGGAGAAGGGCGGGCGCCGGGGCTCGGGGAGCGCGCGCGTGCCGCCGGCCGGGGCTGGCGGCGCGTGGGGCCGAGGGCGGGGGGGGGTGCAGCTCCGCCTCGCTCCCGGCCAAAGTGGCTTTTGGGGGGGAAGGAGCTGCGAGAGCACATTGTCTTCGGCCCTCGGCGCCGGCCCGGGCTGTCAGGGAGGAGCGAAGCGAGGGGAGGGGAGGGGAGGGGGGCGGTCGCGGCCCCTGCGGGGCCTAGTTCACGCGCGGCGGGGGCCGGCTTACGCTTCGGGCTTTCCACTGCCCTCCATTCATTCATCCTTGCCCCCGTGTTCAGCGCGCATTGCGCATGCCTTGGAGGAGTGGGAAGGAGGCCGGAATCTCCGATTCCTTAGAGTCCAGATGGATTGGGAAATTTGCCCTCTTGGTCTGTACTAGGGAGAGCGGAACTTCTTACAAAACTGGGTATTTTATTTCTTGCCGGTGCCTTCTGCCCGCCTTACTCGATCCCCTCCCAGTCAATTTCAGACAGGCCTCACGTTGGGCTGTGAGAAGCAAACTAATCTAGGGTAGGAAATAACACTGCACTCCCCAGCCCAAAGGACATTGAAACATGTGTCTCTCAGTATGTGGGGCTCGCCTCTGCCCTACTGGCTGAAACCTCTAAGCCCCTACGTGGCAGTCTTAAATCTTTATAACACCCAGACTCTAAAGCACCTCAGTGATAATTGGACTGAATTATCAGTTTTATAGTAAATAACTTAAGATCTTAATAACTCCTTCAGAACTTTGTTCCTTTACAGTTGACAGTTCTCTCCATTTTATTGAAGAATACTTTCCTAGTCCCCTACCCCAAGTTGTGTTCATAGGGACAATAAATTTCTGTCGTACTTGTTATGTATTTAGAAAAGTAGTTATAGTTGTGAAAAGTACTTTATCATTGAACATACTTGTTTTCATTTTGTGATTGAAAAACCTATTACCCTACCTGTGTGCTAACATTAAACTTGCTTAATTTTTTTATACACACATACATGTGATTTAAATTGTGTTTATTTTATATGTGAGAAAATGAAGTCCAGAAATGTTAAAAGATGTGGCCTAGTAAGTACCTGAGCCAAGATCTAGGTACTCGGCTCCAAATTCAATGCTTTTCCTAATGTACCTTACTACTTTGTTCTGGGCCTTCTTATGAAGTAATTCCCTCAGACCTGCACAGAGTAGGTTTTTTGAGTAGCCGTAATTGCTTCTTACACTACATTGATGCTTTTTGATAAAGGGCTGATGTCAATATAATTTTTAAGACAAATGTTGGGGAATAAATTTGTTAGCTTTAGAACTCAAGTTTCTGCAATAAAAAGAAGCAGAATGTTTAATTTTACTTATTAACATGGCATTAACTTTTAAAATATTTTCAGGTTCTTATGTCTGTTTCAAACTGGACCTGGTGTAGCATCCACTATACAAGGTTACCCATGGAACCAAGCTAGTAGTTGGAGTAAATAACTTTTAAAATAATAGTGTAATTCCATGAAGGATTCTTAATCTCTTGGGATTTTCAAAACTATACACTATTGCTTTACCATATAGCCAGTTCAGAGAACAAATTAAAGCAGTTCTGCAGCCTATAATTTGAAACACTAGCAAGTTGATTCAGGGCTGATTGAGGTGGCTTGGGAATCTCACAATGAGCATTTACTACTGTGATTTCTTTCTACCTGTCCTCTTTTCAAGGAGGAATTTAGAAAGCTTCTATGTATCTGGATTACAACAAATAATGAATCGTTTGAGTTTTGGTACTGCTTTTGTAACATTTGATCTTAGGGAAATGCAGACGTCAAAAATATGTAACCTTTTGGTTTAGGGTTTACAAAGTATCAATGTGTTTGATAGCGTTTCAATTCTGAAACAGACTTATGAATATCTAAACATTTGAGAACAATTTAAAATTTTATCTAATAACCCAGCAAAGTGCGTAATTAAAATGTAAGTTGTTTTATTCTTATTCACATGTTTTAAACTTATAAACTTCCTTTTCATAGACTACCAAGAAAGTTGTACAAATAAATATGTTCACCTCTGGTTTCAATTTAACTTGATTTAGTTTAGTAATGATGCTCCCTAAGCCATGACCTCTATTCTTTAGCTCTGTAAACAGAATTGTACATTGAGTCAGACTTCATTATAATGTTTTAAGGGAAAACAACTTTTGCATAAAAATCTTAAATTCATCGTGATTAAATCTTAAGCAGCTAGCATTTTATGCTTAGGTAAAATGTATTTTTTATGGTTCAGCTTCTTCTGAGGTGAAGGACACCTGCTCCTTGGACACAGAATGTGTGATACTTTTTCAGTTTTCCTTTGTGGAAAGAGAACATTGAATTTTCTCTTTTCTTGAGAGTTTTCTGTTGAAGTAAATTGTTTGAGCTAAAATATGACTTTCCTCTTTTGTCCTTTTAGTTATTTTATGACCAGGCCACAACCAAATATTGCTAGTATTGGTGATAGGTGTATTTGACAGCTAGTTTTCCTTTTTGTGAACTTCACTGTACTTTTAATATAATAATGTTATATAATGTGTATAAAATATTATGTTTTGTATAATGTTTAATAGTATAAGCCATTTTAATTTGGTTTTTATGTTTCTCTTTGACTGAAATCCTAAGTACCTAACAAGTACTTTGTAGGTGCTTGATAAATTCTTGTGGAATACAATTTTGGATTTCTTGGGGGTGGGACCTTTGTGGTTAAGAGTCTAGTATATGCAATTTCAGACTTTGAGTTGAATTGACTGTTTATTAACCTCTTTTTTAAGGTTGTCTTTCAGCCCTATGTTAATATTCTGTGAACCTGGTACTTAGAGAAACTTTTCTTTGATCTCTTTTTCATTTTTTGTAGTATTTAGAAAAGCAGCTTTAAATGCTCCTCCTACAGTAGATTTATTTACTAGGGGAAAATACTTAAAATGCATGTGTGCATAATTTAATGTGGTAACTATGGGTAATGGATGCTGGTTGGCTGGCATACTTTGGGGCAAGTTTTAAAGGCATTCTTGTTTTAAAGAATACAGCATATGAAAATTCAGATTTTTAACATAAAATGGTTAAAGAGACATCTGTTGAATAAAGTGAAATCATACCTTTAAAGTGGTTGAATTTGTACAGCATAGGAAATTTTAGCCAAGAACCCAGTGTATTAAATTTATATGAAAATGGGTGACTTAGATTTTTGATTTGATAATCAGTACTATAGACAACTTGCTGTTATAGGATAATAGATTAAATATGTCAGGGACCTTAAGAGTCCATCCAGTTCAACCCCTTTATTTTAAAGATGAAACTTTTGGGGGGGGGGCTAGGCAGTAGGGTTAAGTGACTTGCCCAGGGGCGCACAGCTAGTAAGTGTTATGTGTCTGAGGCCAGATTTGAACTCAGATCCTCCTGAATCCAGAGCCAGTGCTCTATCCACTGCACCACCTAGCTTCCCCTAAAGATGAAACTCTTGAAGCCCATCAAGGTTAAGTGACTTGCACAAAGTCCTTAAAAAGAGAAGGAATTTGAACCCAGGTCCTCTGACTCTTTTTCTTTTTACCATGTCATGCTACCCTATTCCCTGCTGTTCCTGGGACTTCAAAATTCATATCTGAAAGAACAGTAATATTCCATGAAATAATAATAGCATTTATATAGCACTTTAATGTTTGTGAATTGCTTTGCAAGTATTTTTTTATTTGATCCTCACAGAGAGATATATAGGTAGGTGCTATGATTATGATTATTTGGACTTACAGATGAGGAAACTGAGTCAGAGAGAGGTTAAGTGACTTGCCCTAGAGTCTCACATATAGTAAGTGCCTGAGGCAGGATTTGAACTCACATCTTCCTGATTCCCTGTCCATTGCTCTTTTATCCACTGGTGCTGCCTTCAAATACCGCAGTTTAACAATTCTCTGATTAATTGGCACTCATTTTGTTTCCATTTCTTTGCTACTAAATAAAAATGTTGCTATGCATGTGTATATATTGTACTTTTCTTTCTGTTTTTAATCCACATGGGATAAATCCTGAGTAGTATGATATGTTGAATCAAATGGTATGTATGGTTTAGTGAATTTTCTGTTTTGGTTTTCTATTGATTTCCAGAACAGTTGTACCAATTCACAGGGGCACTAGGTGGTGAAGTGGGTAGAGTGCTGGGCTTGTCTTTGTGAGTTCAAATCTGGCCTCAGACACTTCCTCGCTGTGTGACCCTGAGCAAGTCACTTAAGCTCTGTCTGCCTCAGTTCCTCATCTGTAAAATAAGCTGGAGAAGGAAGTGTCAGTATCTTTGCTAAGAAAACCCTAGATGGGTTGTGAATGTTGCTTTAAGACAACATGTTTTCTAACCACCCCTTTAATATTCACCACTTTTGTTTATTTGTATGACTGAGGAAACCTCCAAGCTTCATTTATTTATTTAGTTAGTTGGTTGGTTGGTTAGTTAGTA